AAAAAGAAAGAAAAGGCATTGACTTCTGACTCCCTTTGATGCAGTAAAATAAGATAGTAACATCAACTTTTTTATTTTTACATAGTAGTATAAACTAGCCAACAAACCTATCTAATCGGTAAAATCGAAAATCAAAGTTTCATTTTTTTCTACTTCAAGCACAAATCCAGAAGTGGTTTCCAAGTAGAAACAAAAATAATTATGTTTTTTTCTTTTAATAAAGCAGTCAATTTAGCCATCTCTCTAACTCCATCAACTTTTGCAGCCATTCGTCCATTGTGGGGATTGAAGTGTCCTTCCATTTTTGTGCATAAAATAATGTTGCTGCCATCAACATATATAACATCAAAGCTCCAATTTTTTCCCCAAGTCTTTTTCCATTAAACCCAAAAGAAAAATTATCTTAATATTCACTTTAAGAATCTTCTGTATTAGAATATGAATCCTACTCCAATATTTATTTGCATTATCATATGTCCACCACAAATGATAAAAAGTCCCTTCTTTTATTTGCATATCCAACAATCATTTGAAGTACTTTTTATACATTCTTGATAACTTATCTGGTATTAAATACCAATGATATATCTTCTTATAAAATTTTTCTTTTAAATTGTAATTTAGTGTAAATTTTAAACCTTTCATCCACATATTCTTCCATTGTTCAAGCATTACATTATATCCAAAATTCCTTGCTCACTGAGTCATACAATGTTTTACATATTCACTTTCCAAATTCAAATTCAATAGCGTTTTATAAACCTAACAACAATATGTTCATCACTACCACACAGTAGGATTTCCAATTCATTTTAACAAAGTCAAACTTGTAACTCTTTTTGTCTAATTTAAACCTTTCTTTCAGTTTTAAATACTAAGCCAATGGCAGGCATGTCCTTCTGATTCAATCCTTAGGGTTGAGGAGAGGATCAACAAGATTAAATGATATTATTTTACCATAGGTCCACCAGTCAGGCTTCGGCACCATTTCTTTTCTGAAAAAAGCTTCCTGAGGGGACACCCAAAGAGGCATCTTCATAGAAAACCTTGTTTTATATTTATTCCAGACTCTTAGAATGGCATGTCTAACAAAGAGGTTGTTAAAATCAACATTTATTTTAACCTTACCATACCATAAATAACTATGCCATCCAAATCTTAATTCATGACCCTCTAAATCAAGTAGTCTCTTATTCTGGAGGTTCACCCACTCTTTTAATCAGACCAAACAACAAGCATCTTTTAGTAGTTTATATCTGATTCTTGTTTTTTCCCCCTTGCCATATAAACTTAGAAATATCCCTCTGCCATTGTTGAAATGGAGTATCAGTTGCAAGTATTGGTAATATCTGAAACAAAAAAAGCATCTTTGGTAAGACATTCATCTTAAATTCTACCCAATAATGATAAATGTAGTTTATCTCATCTTAATAAGTGTTTTTTAATATCATTCCAGAGAGGCACATAGTTATTTTGAAATAGTTTTTTGTTTGTATTTGTCAATATGACCCCCAAATATTTCACCTTTTTATCAACCCTAAAACCAGACTTTTTAGTCAATATATTACAGTCCTATGGGGTCTTATTCTTAGCAAGCATTGTTTTTTTCCTGTTTGTTTATTTTAAAAGCCACTAAAAACCCAAACTCATTAAATTTCCTCATCAAATATTCGTGGCTCAGTCCATTATGTATATGAAAATAAAGGATTGGATTGGTAGGGTAGGGTAGGGTACACAGCAGCTGCAGGACACAGATAAGCTCCCTCCCAGATCACAGAAGTTCTCCCACCCTCATTTCCACTTCAGGCTTGGAAGTCAAATAATCAGTGTCAGCCTGAGAATGGGTTTTTCATGGCTGTTGTTGCCACTATAATTCATAGAAAGCTGGGTGGCTTGTGCAGACTCTATCACCAAGCAAGGGTGGCATAACAGCCAGAATAGAAGATGCAGCCACACTGACTATCACAAAGATCATTTTCCTCCAGTTGGCAAATGAACTGTGCCAATAACTATCTTATTAGCCAACTTCTGATCAATGGTGCACTCCATGTGCCACACTGCCTCAGGAATACCAGGAAGTCTCCTTCAGCCACCTGACTGGGAAGGAATTAAAAGAAATAATTAGTGCCATGAGATATAAAGAAGTTAAAAAACTGTATGCCAGGTTTGGTCCATAACTGGTAATCAAAAACTGATGGGATAAAAAAACTTTTTGCAGAAGGAGGTTCAGTTCGATCAGGGGTGTCAAACTGGTGGCCCGCGGATCAGATGCGTCATGTACAGGCCACGCCCACCCCGGCTCCGCAAAGGCAAAAACATTACGATACATCACAATACGTCACGTGACGTGATCGAGTTTGACACCCATGAATTAGATGGAGAGAAGGAAGAGAGAAGGCAATTGTGATTAGATCGTTTTGGGCCAAAGAGGGATGTTTGAATTATGGACCCCCCAGATAAGCCAGAAATTGCACCAAGGACAAAACCCAGAAGTGTTAGGAAAGGTGTAAAAGACCATGGAGGTACAAGATGCACAGGAGACATCTGGAGGTGTTGGGTGGGGGGATGGAAAAGAGTAGAATCCGTGACATACTGGTTGTTTCTTTGGGCACTTTTCAAGGGAGGGAGAGTGTCAATCTATGGAAATAAATGCCTGGAAGAGGTACAGGACAAGAAGCAACGGGTGGAAACTAAGCAAGGAGAGAAGCAACCTAGAACTAAGGAGAAACTTCCTGACAGTTAGAACAATTAACCAGTGGAACAACCTGCCTCCAGAAGCGGTGAATGCTCCAACACTGGAGGTTTTTAAGAAGAGACTGGACAGCCATTTGTCCGAAATGGTATAAGGTTTCCTGCCTGAGCAGGGGGTTGGACTAGATGACCTCCAAGGTCCCTTCCAACTTTACTATTATTATTATTATTATTATTATTATTATTATTATTATTATTATTATTATTATTATTATTATTATTATTATTATTATTATTACTTCATTAATTACAGTATTATTCTGAAAAATGATTGGTGTGTTCCTTTAAACAGAAGCAACCATTTATGTAGATAGAACAAAGTAAAGGAATGCATTAAATCAATTCTGCTCATTTTTGTTTTCTTCAAAGATTAAAAATATTTGGATTTTTAAATATGTGGCTAAGGTGACAGGACTTTATAAGTTGCCTTTTTATATTTTATGTAAGATGAATCATTTATTTGAAACATCCCCCGTGAAATAATATTCCATGTCACATTTATTGTAGACCATTAAATTATCACAAGTTTAATGTAAAATGTTACTGTTCAAGGAAGAACGAACATATATTCCTATGGGGATAGTGAAGAAAAATCCATGGAGGAATTGCCTGTGATTCAAATGATTTTCTACTTAAGGGAAAAAAAATTTCACTGCGTACTTCTTCCCTTTCTGAGCAAAGCAGACTTTATAACCTCAGGATCCAAGGACTTGAACTAGATATCACCTTTTATTGCTGCAGTAGTGGGAAAGCATCGAGAGTCAGCTAAGGCAATGCATTTTTACAAGAGGTAAATCTTGTAATTTTGAGTTAGGGTTGGAAATCATTTGTCAATTAGAACAATAAAGGGCTCTAAGTTATTTTTGCATTGGGCTAGGAAGCTCAGCTGAATGCTCAAAATGCCTAAAAATAGCAAATGAAAAGTATAGAAATAATTTTCTTTAATCTAACTTAAGAGTTAGCATTACTTTCTAAAACATTCTGGGAAGGAGTTAACAAGTGAATTTACATTATTTATTTTTCAAGATTTATGGCTGGAAACCCAGATTCAAACATGTTTGTTTAGGCCCCTTTTTATAGGTCCAGACAAAAAGAACATGAAAAGGAAAACCTTGTAGTCTATTATTTTTGTTTTGTTTCTATTTATTGTCTATCTCATTTTTCCTCCAAGGGACTCAGTGGGCGAGCAGAAAGATTTATTTCTTTTTTCTCAAAGGAAGTGATGCTCAAAGTGAATATCAATGAAAAAATTTAAATCGATATACTAACTTGTATTTCAGCTAGTATGATAGAAACACAGAAAAACAAAGGTGTCTGTCAATTAGCATTTCTTAGACTAGCCTACTTGAAAAAATGGCTTTTGTGGGGAAAAATTGGAGTGTTTTGCTATACAGGTTTTTGCTCTTGAAGGACAGAGGATATTTTAAAGAAAAGCATTTAAAACAGTGCTTCCAATTTTTTTCCTTCATTACCTAAGACTGCTTATCAGAAAGTCCTTATTACCCAATGTAAGTCAATTTAAATGTCCCTATTGTGGCTGGGTAATGAATTTGTGTGTTGTTACTCAGGGAAAACTATTTTTACCCAACTTTGGTAATTTACCAGGTTCGGGAAGCCCTGATTTAAAAATATGAGTAAATTTAAAAGTAAACAGTATCTACATCATCCTGTTGGGACTGTGAACTTGTCTTTCAAGTCCAAGAAAACCTGAGCAGAAACCTCTTTCAGATCTTTTGGCTCAAGGTAGGAAGATTCGTACCTGCTCATTATTTCCCAGGAGTTTGCAATTACTTAGGTTGCTTCAAATTGTGAGTAAAATCAGAAGTTATGTTCAAATCTGCACAGTCCCTAGTGTTGCTCAAAGCAGGTAAAGTAATAGAGTATTAAAGCAAGGACTGCAGAGATTTTGCTTAAATATAAGGAAAAATCTTCCTGACAGTAAGAACAGTGGAAGTTGTGAGCTTTCCATCTCTGGAAGCTTTTAAGAAGAAGCTGATCAGCCACCTGTCACAGATGGCTTAACAAGATTTCCTCCATATTGTAGAGGATTGGACTAGATCGGGGGTAGGCATGGCTGGCTCAGGAATTCTGGGAGTTGAAGTCCATGAGTCATAAAAGAGCCAAGGTTGCCTACCCCTGGACTAGATAGTCCTTGTAGTCCTTTCTAATTTTATAGTTATGTGATTCTATGAGAGGGTAGGGAGAATGAGCTTTCTTTAATTTTTATCTTTTCATATTTTTCTCTATAGTTGCAAATAGCTTACCGTGTTTGTGCTACAATGCCCTACACATTCTACACACAGAGATAAATTCTTAGCAATTACCATGTGCATTACAGATCATATGAGGGCATAGTGTCATTCCTTGCAAACCTATTTAGATGTGGTATATATAAAAAGGTTAGTCATTTGTTTCCTTCCTTTACTGCAATCAGCTGATGTTTGCATGTAAATAAAATTAGTATCTAGAATAACTCAGTTGGATTGAATGTCCTTTGCATGATGAAATGCAAAGTCTTCTCACTATGAATTAATTACAGAACCCATTCCTTATAGCCAGGAAGCTGTCTTTCCCTTCAGAAACAATTAACCATTAATTCCTGTGCCTTCCAGGAAGTTCAAGATTTCACGCCTTGGGACAACTAAAATCATCCCCAGGAAGACCTCAGACATATCCAGTTCTTTATTGTAGGAGAGTCACAAAATGATAACATGCTAAGCAAATCAGTACCTTCCCAACCCCCCCCCCAATGTTTTTTTAAAGAAATGGTGGAGATAAATAGCACTGCTGTGACAGAATTCATTCTGCAAGGATTTACAGAATACCCAAAGCTACAGAATGGTCTCTTCCTGATATTTCTTGTAATCTACCTTTGGATCTTGTTAGGTAATCTGGGAATGGTTGTGTTGATCAGAAGTAGTCCTCAGCTTGAGACCCCTATGTATTTCTTCTTGCAACATTTTTCATTAATGGATGCCTGTATAGCCTCAACTGTTGCTCCTAAGATGCTGCTGAACCTCCTTGCAAAGAGAAAGACCATCACCTATGGTGGCTGCATTGTCCAATTTTTCCTTTTTTGCACTTTTACAGATGTGGAAGCCTTCCTTCTGGCTGCCATGGCAATTGACCGCTATGTAGCTGTTTGCAAACCTTTGTCTTACACAGTTATCATGTCTAGATCCTTCTGTCTCTGGCTGCTTTGGGGAGCATATGTTGGGGGTGTCTTGAGTTCTCTCATTCATAGCTGTGCATCTTTAAGGCTCTCTTATTGTGGAAGGAACTCAATTAACCATTTCTTTTGTGACCTGGCTGCTCTGATGGCCCTTGCCTGTTCAGATACTTCCCTCAATGAGCTGCTGCTCTTCACTTTTGGCATCTTGGTTGAAGGCTTGAACACTGTGACTATTGCTGCCTCCTATGGCTTCATCATCATAGCAGTTGTCAAGATGCACTCCTCAGGAAGCAGGCTGAAAGCCTTCTCGACCTGTGCTTCCCACCTGACAACCTTTGCTTTGTTCCATGGCACCATCCTCTTTATGTACTTCCGACCCAAATCCAGCTTCTTCATGCACACTGATAAAAAAATCTCAGTGTTTTACACTCTGATCATCCCCATGTTGAATCCTCTAATTTACAGTTTGAGAAATGCCGATGTAAAGGAGGCCCTCAAAAGATTGCTAAGGAAGACAATAAACCCTCACTGATGGTTTTATTTTGGACTAGCTGTACCCAGCCACGCGTTGCTGTGGCTCAGTCTGGTTAAATGGAAAAGAAAGAAAAGAGAAAGTGCACATTTGTAATATGTTTAATTTCACAATGCTTGTGGGTATACAAAGCAATCGGTGAAGAACTTTCGGAGATTTAAGATTTTGAACAAACGAACATTTACATTTTTATTTATATAGATTCAAAAAAGCATGTTTTTACCTGTCACAGGTGTGACATCTATATAATAGTAGGTATATAAAAACACGCACATATTTGAATGCAATGTTGTGTCAAAATTTCAAAGCAATCGGTGAAGAACTTTCGGAGATTTAAGATTTTGAACAAACGAACATTTACATTTTTATTTATATAGATAGCTGCTTTCCATCTTTCTTCCAAGGTTGTGCATGTGGTTGTCTCCCAGCATTGTTTTATCTTCACAATAGTATTGGGAGGGAAGTTTGAAGGAGAAGGATCCTGATCTGACCCTGATCTCCCAATGCTAACTCAGAAAACTGATCACTTCATTTTGTTTTGTGATCAACAAAATACCTTTACATAAATGGGGGTGTTGATCCAGAAGCTGAAGGGAGGATATAAGAACATCACTATTTATTTTGTGTAAATGTGCAAATTCCTCTTTCAGTTTATATTGTATCAAAAGGAATAAAACATGCATTGAGAACAAATTCTGTCCTTCATCTTCAAAGATATCCTGCCTGAGTTCATAGCTGGGTGTTGATTTTTTTAAAAAATTAATCACTGATTGAAGACAACGATTTCTAACTAAATGACTAGTCTTCTTTTTAGGGAATTGGAAGTTTATAAAAACAAATGTAACAGAATAGCATGTCACCAAATGCAAAAGAATGTTTGTCATCCCTCAGAATACAGATTAGCTTTTCAAAAGAGAAAATAATAGAAGGAAGAGCCTTTTATTTTTGCCTTGTTTCCAGAAAAATCTCAATTTACCAAAGAATTACAGCTTTATATAAAAAAGCCCTACACTACTTTACCTACAGAAAAACTGCAGGCTAGTAATACATTTTGTGTGCAGTAGTTCAGCCCATTTTTGTTGATTGAGCTGGATCATATGAAGCATCTTCCCACCTCTGCTGTTCAAATACAGTCCATGTGTAATTTATGGAAGAACTGCCTTCCCAACCTAGAAGCCCAACCTAGAAATTAGCAATAGATGAGTCATCAAAGACAATTTGTTATATTCTAGATAGGAATGAACTGATGAATCAATTGAAGATGATGATATATCCCCCGTAACAAAGATGTTACAGGTTGTCCAGAAAGGATAAAGTGGAACTTGTTTGTTAAGAAAATGTGTGATCAAGAGCAAGAATATTTCCCAAATTTGTCATCCAGCCCTAGAATCAATAATAATCTTGTGTTGTCTGAATTCATCTGATTCTCCCATGTTCAATTCTTTATAATTTAGAGGAAGGCAATTTTGATCTTGCAAGAAAGGAAAAGCATGATAAAAAAAACCAATTCTATGTTAATTAGACAAAATTAGCCTAGTAAGGCAATTCTGACAGTAATATTGTAAAAAGTTGACACCAAAGCTTCTGTCCTCTCTAATTCCAAAGCTCAGTGATGTAAAAATTCATGATCAGTGATGTAAAAATTCACTGAAAGATGTAAGTGTATAAACAGGGTTCTACTTTCCCTATGTCTCTGCTAGCATAGCTAACCCATCAGGGTGAGCAAGGCTTTTCTACTACATTTGGGCCTGATCAGTGGCTGGGTTGGATCAAGATAGTTTATTGTATCTAATAGCTTCTGAAGCTACTCTCCCCTCAACTTGGCTAAATATCAAATACTGTGGCTGAGACTGTTTCTTCAGAAAGAATCTCATCACCACCAAAGTGGCAGGGGAACTCACCTGAATAAAAAGTGATATTAATGATGTGAGTGATCATTGGCAGAGTCAGGGCTTTTTTTCTCATAGAACGTCCAGAACGGAGTTCCGGCACCTTTTTTGGATGGAACCTTGTAGGGTAGGCAAGGCGGGTTGTATGATGTGTGTGAGTTCCGGCACCTTTTTTTTTTTTTTTTTTTTTTTACAAAAATAGCACTGGGCAGAGTGATCATGAAGTGCAAATTAAGCTGGGGAGAGAACTAATATGCAAATGAATCAAAGCAGAGGGAGATAAGCTTTCTAAAGAGACAAGCAACAAAACTTAGTCAGAGAGACTTATGAGATAGTATGATGGATAACTCATCCATAACATTGCCTAAAGAGCTGTCAGGTCTATAATTAATTGAAGTTTTCTTGTTTTCTCATCAATTGCTCATAATGGAATTCAGATGCTTTTGGGGTGTTAGAGGGAACCCCTGGTGGCTGGTCTTTCATGTGAGAGTCCTGACACCTTTGGACAATTGTTTACAGAACTATCAGGAAGAATATCCACCCCTTGTATAATTGCTGCAACATATGCTTCACATACTATCATGCCTGATCTGATACTAGCTCCAATCATTTGTCATCATCTTGCACTTCATATACCATGGAATACCATGAGCTCCCACATGTAAAGAGAACACTCTGTCATAATATGATCTCTCTCTCTCTCTCTCTCCCTCTCTCTCTCTCTCTCTCTCTCTCTCTCTCTCTCTCTCACACACACACACACACACACACACACATCTTGATGGGCATTATGGTGTACAGACTGGCTCTGAAGCAGGCCAGGGCTTGCTCCTGTGAAAAATAATGTTCTTGTTGATAATACTGTTTTAACCATTAACAATAGTTATGTTGGCCAGGGGGGCTGGACTAGAAAACCTCTAAGGTCTATAATCTATAATCCAGCAGCAATTTCTTGCCATTAGCCCAATTAAAGTCCTAATTCTGCTTCTAGTGAAAAATATTGTTGCTACTGTTATTAAGATATATATGGCCATCAAAATAGAAATACTCAACTTTATTATGTCAACCTATAATTCAATCAAGTCAGGAGAGAGTAAAACAGAAGGCATATTTAATTCAAAAGGCTGGAAAAGAAAGGATGGCTGTGGCTCTCATTTAGTCTTGAGGCAAGAACTCCATTTAGGAATGTTCCTGATGCCCTAAACATTGTTTCATGTGGAAACAGCAAACTTAATTGATTTGGAGCAATCCATACTTCCAGTGACCAATAGATTTTTTTCTTTTTTTTCTTTTCTTTTGTAAGGATGTGGACAACGCATTATTTGCCAACTATCTTGCAGACTGCAGTGAAACAAAATTACTGAAACGTGTAGTGAGTCATAAAGTAGAAGTCTTAAGAGCAGAGTCATGAGGTACACACTCCAATAGCATGCATACAGAAAGGACCAATCTATGTATTATGACATTACAGACTGGAATTCAGACCTTTACAATCCTGAAAAGGATTGGAATGAAAATGCAGTTGTGGAGTATCTAAAAGAGCTTCTTAGTTGCTTAGTTGCAGAGAAGGCCTTTGACAATTGAACTGGGCTTTCCATTTTAAAGTTTTGGAAGCTGTGAATTTTGGAAAGAATTTTATTAAATGGGTAAGATTGATAAGGCACTTTTTTTTT